CTTCCCAATCTATAATTAAAGTACCAGGGTGACTGACATGATCTTTTCTTTTTTCTAGGTACAATCAGCAGGGTGCCCCTGGTGGCGCTCAGGACGGCGAACGTGGCCTCGGTGGTGCCCTCGCCGGTGGTCTGGCGGGAGGCTTTGCCGGTCACAAGGCGGATCACGGAATCCTCGGAACCATCGGTGGTGCCATTATCGGAAGTATCGCTGAAGACGCTATCAAGAAGCACAGACACAAGGAGGAGGAGCAGCAGCAGCAGTACGGCTACCCTCCCCACGGTGGTCCCGGTGGCCCTCCTCCTCCCGGCTCTCACCACGGTGGCGGTGGTAGCATGATGGACCAGTTCGGCAGCTTCTTCAAGAAATAGACGGCTCCTCTTTCATCCTGACCGTTCTTGATCTCATGACCTTGCTGCTTACATTCTATGTGACTGAGCCTTTTATTTACTTGTTGCCCTTTCCTTTTTGTTACGGCCGGCCGGGGTATGGGAAATGAATTCTAGTCTTTTCATCCAACAACCGTCTCTTGCGCTTAAGATTGCTTTGCTTTACTCTGAATTCTCTCCCTGAAGTGTTGATACTAGGGATTGGACTTGAAACTTGATACCGATGCTGGGTCTGCCAGCATAATCTACTTATTAGTGGCTATGCAACGAAGAATCATACTGTCTTTGACCCCGCAAATCTAAGAATTTTTGCCTGAGAAGGAATGTAGTTGTAACTGCAAGATATGAAAGATTGTCATGAATGTCGTATAAAATAGAAGAAACCTAGATGTCGACACTCAAAAGAGGGGTGATGGCGGGGTGAGCGTCCCTACGAGACCCGAGTCCCGACAACCCAACCCCGCCTTTAGATTTCATGCATTTCCGGGAGGACAAGTGAGATGAATTACTGCACCCATTGGTCGACCTGGGCTTACTGAGTCATGCGGTGATGAGTTGTCCCAACAAGTAGGAGGATTTGCATTTGGATCATTAACATCTGACACGGGGTATGAATGGGTGCATTTACGTTGCCATGCTTCGGCGTTCCCAGCGCCTCTCAATCCTGCGTCTCTCAGCACGGCCCGGAACACTCACCGCACCCTGCCCGTGTCTGGCGAGGATCTCGTGCAGACCCAGCGACGTATCTACGTCGGGGAAACCGGAATGGGTGATGCCCGCCAACAGCTCGACCAAGGCCTCATCCTCCTCCTCATGGAAGGTCGCCTTCCCCCCGAGTCTGTACTGGTAGATGCCACGCACCCGATGGTCTGCGTCGTCCGTGGGGAGGACCTCGCGATAGAACCGACACCATTCCCCGGTGCTGAGCTCCCCGGCGATGGTGGCCGAGTCTGGGTTCTCGCGCCGCGCCTGCAGGAAGATGTATTTGAGCAGTTCTTCCATGCGGGCCCAGGGGACCTCCTCCAGAGGCAAGTCCCTGGGCCCAAGCAGGTAGAACATCGTCGTGCAGGGCGTCTCCCTCGCCCCTACTTGGTACGTGATCTGGCACTGGCGGTCATACAAGCAGCCGAGCGGGCGTCCGCTTTCGGGGGTGCAGCCCCCTGGGTATAGCGAAATCTCCCCGGGCTGGATCATCTTGTGCGCAGGTTTGGATTGGGGATGATCGATGTTGTATGGGCGGTATATGAAGAGCATGTGCAGTACACAGGTTAATCGAACTACTAGAAGAATGAATCTATAGTTTCCCGGCCGGGAATGCCAACTTGCAAAGCGTGACATATTTATATCTAGATCATCCGAGTATTCTTAGAATCACAATGTCTTTATGTGTGAGCTCTTTGACTACAGCAAGATAAAGGAGAGTCTCCTTTATTTACTGAATTGCTGGAACTGATAGTCCCGGCTCCTGAGTATAATCCTATGGCCTTAGCATCGCAAGTAATTGTTGTGCCATCAAGCGTCCTTTGTTCTAATCCCTCCAGTTTGTCACCCGGTTCCTGCTGAAGCCACAGTCTAACTGTGCCGATTCCTGTCCGGGACAGTACTCTTTTCGGGCTGTCAGAGGAAGATAGACTCTCTTGTCCGGCTCTATGTCCATGTCAATCTACTATGGCTGAAAAGGATTGTATGGGAGAGAGATTGATGAATTAGCCCTCCATGACATGGAGGGAAAGAAGTTGAGATAAATGCTTCATACTTCATACATCGGATTGATCATGCATCGTCGCCCCGAGGCAGCCAGGCTTGTCCGGAAGCGGATTAGCGCATGGTGCTGGGTGCCTGGGGCAGAATTGTGCGGCCAAGCCCGATCAAAAGTTCGAGCGGAAGATTCCCTTCAACACTGCGGAAGGGAACAAGACTGCTCTGTATAGTACACCATGATTGTCCGGCATTGTTTGCGGCAAAGTGAGTTCTTGTCTGCTCTCTCGGCTCTATTGAACTCTGTATCCTGATAACTGACGCTCTTTCTGTCTTGCAGGCCGCCAGCTCGGTGCGCTCAACCGCCAATCGCGCGTCTGGGCCCGATTCTCCTCCACCGAGACGATTGTCGACACTCCGGCGCAGCAAGCCCCCCGGGTGACTGCGACTCCAGCTGGGATCCCCTCGGAGCCTGGGTCGCCGGCAGAATATAGATTGACTCCTGAAAAGGAGGCCTGGGACAAGGGTCTGCAGCGCAGTCAGTACACCCAAACAACTTGGTGACCCCCCCATGTACACGAGTGCGGACGGCAACACTAACATGAGGTGCTCTCGTCTTATCTTGAACAGAGGCCGACTTCCGCAAAATGGGAACCACTCTGGAAGGCAAATATTCTCCCGACAGTCTTCTCTTCCACCCCCCTAAACCCGCCGACCTCACTCTCGAAATGCTCCTCGCCAATCAGACACACCTCGGACACTCAACCTCCCGCTGGAACCCGCAAAACTCCCCCTACATCTACGGTATTCGCGAGGGCATTCACATCATCTCCCTGGACGTGACCGCCGCGTATCTACGACGTGCGGCCAAGGTTGTCGAGGAGGTCGCCGCCCGCGGCGGATTGATCCTGTTCGCCGGCACCCGGAAGGGCCAGAAGCTGATGGTGGTGCGGGCCGCCGAGCGGGCCCAGGGCTACCACCTCTTTGAGCGATGGATCCCCGGCAGCTTGACCAACGGCAGTGTCATCCTGGGCCACTGCGAGGTGAAGGTGGTGAACATATACGACGAAGAGCTGCCGACGTTCAAGGAGGTGGCCAACTCCCGGCCCTCGCTCAAGCCGGACTTGGTGGTCTGCCTGAACCCCCTGGAGAACACGGTTCTTCTGCACGAGTGTGGCCTCAATAACGTTCCCACCATCGGCATCATCGACACGGATGCGGATCCCACCCGCGTCACCTACCCGATCCCCTCGAACGATGACAGTCTGCGTGCCGTCGGCCTCATTGCTGGTGTCCTGGGACGAGCCGGAGAGGCCGGTCAGGAGCGGAGGTTAAAACTTGCTAGGAAGGGGGAAACTCTTTATAAGCCCCTTACACAGTTCGATCTCCCAATCCGCAAGCCAGAGGAGGCAAATGATCGGAGAGAGGAGTCGGAGGAGCGGAAATGAAGAATTGGCGGCGCTACGGAATTTCTTTTTGATCTCGGTTTGCCTGCCCTTGACTGGGATTGTACTGTATAGGACATATAAACCTTTTTTTGCGTCTGTTTTTCTTGCCTATGTTTTTCCTTCTGGTGTTACGAACATGTATCAACAAATGTCGCCTGAATCATACCTTTAACTTCCATCTGTACTACTGTTTCACTGGATTGTTTTCGTGTGCCATCAAACATGAAATCTAGTTTTAGATCTTGGATGGGTAGAATGACTGGTGGTTAGGTTATCCTTGCATGCCGATTCCGCATGGATCAGATGTGGTTACCTTCGTGGTATTTTGTGAGCACGTCCAAGTACAGTCAACGAGATAGATTGGACTAATTGTATTCCCGTGCAAACATCCACTTGCCCTGTGAATTGAACCAACAGCGGCTGTCTATCTCCTTTTCATACAGTGACGCTCGTCTCGTTGCGGAGCATTTAATCCAGACAAGACTGACCGGTAGTTCGTGGTCGAAAGATAAACAGTCCATCCGCGGCCAGAGAGCCGTATGGAGCAAGTCACCATTATACGATGGGTCAGATTTCCAAGCAACAACATTGAGTGAGGGTTGTCCGGCATGCTCCATACGGTGTACAAAAACCATCTTCCTCCACGGTCTATTGTGTCCTTGGACCACTACTAACAACTCGGCAAGTCACTTAACTACCGTGCTATTCAATCACAAAGTCAATAATCAATAGACAAAGACAACCGCCCGAGCAGTATTCAAAGTAACATTACAAGTCAATGATCAGCTCCACCAACACAGAGAAAGTAATCAACTATCCGAGACCCTCAAACCTTCTTCTCCGAACTCATCTCCATCCATCTGACCTCTCATATCAATCCAACCTGATCCAGCTGTATCTCCGACCACCTTTCCCATGCAGGGACTGAGCTAGCGGTAGGGACGTGCCAACCCTAGACTTTTCTACCGGTAGGCAATGGCCGACTCCGGTAGAGGAGGGTATCTTCATGCAACTCTCGATCAATAATCCCATACCGGACCAGGGCCACCTGATTGGCACAGAACCCCGAACGAGGTGCTTTGTGGCGGTGATAGTTTGATGCATGATGCCAGCCTGGAGGTTTTCCGGAGAGACTGTGAGCATACCGGTATGATGATTGATTCGTTTCTGCTTCTTTCGGTCAACCTCAATTCAATTCCATACCCACTGGATAAACACGAGCTGGATGAGGCTAGAGCAGGGATTGATATTAACATATCGGTATGATATATCAATGATCCCATGTCTTTTTTTTCTCCTGTTTATTCCCCCTTCCTCTCTCTTCTTTGGGAACCATTGCTGCTCTATAAATTCAGCTACTTAGCTACCATCCGTCCTCTCTTCCGAATTCCCTCTCCTCTTTCCAAGACTTTTAGACCCAGCCCGAACTTCACAGACAGAAAGAAAAAGAAAGGCAAAAGCAAAAATGCACCTCCAAACCCTTCTCCCCATCCTCCTGACCTCCGCCTCCCTCGTCGCCGCATCACCGAATGCTGCTGCTGCTGCCGCTGCCGCTGCCGCTGCTGCGCCGGCAGCAACCACAGCAGCCAGCGCGGGGGATACAGCGCAGTGCGCGAAGAGGTATGCACCTCCCTAAGCTCTCGCCTCCAAGAACGAGCACATAGATTGCCAAGCCCCAGAGAGTTACTTAGTTAGCTAACTGACTGACATGAGGGACATAGTATCCTGGACGCCTGCCTGAAACAGCTCCAGCCGCAGATGGACGCCTGCGCGCAGAACGACTGGGATTGTCTGTGTACGCAGAGTCAGAATGTGTTGACGTATGCATAGCCCCTTTCCTTTGTTCCTTTTCTCTTTTCCCCCGGTCTTGATTGTCTTCGCTCTTTTTTCCTCTTTGATGCTTCTGGTTTATCAGTGTGGGTGTGGTGGATGGATCGGGTGCTGTATACATACATCTATATCATCAACCCACCCACCCACCCACCTCCCGCCAAAACCTAAACACCATACCACACTATCGACCCCACCCACACTCTACCCGATACAATCCTACACTCTACCCCTTTCTTAGCAAAACTAACCCTTTCTCTCTCTCTCTCTCTCTGCCTAAAGCTGCTACAACGACTGCCCCTCCGACCCGGGCCGCTACACCGTCACCCAGCAACAAGTGCCCTACTGTAACGCGGCCCAGGCCAACTCGCTGCTATACTCGACCTCCACCAAGGTGACCAAGACCTCGTCGGCGACTAAGACGAGCGCGCCTACCACCGCCGCGGCTAAGACGACGGCCGCGTCGGCCACGGCCACGGCGGTCGAGTCTTCCGGGGCGGCTGCCGGTGCTGGATTGGAGCTGGGGTTGGGGGTTGCGGCGGTGGTGTTGGGGGTGTGGGGGATTTAAAAGCCGATGAGTTGGGTTGCAGAGGCTATGGGTGTTGATTGTTGGGTATATACCTAGGATGTAATACTGTGTTGTTGTGTGGGTGTACTAACTGATGGATTGGATGGGTTTGTATGTACTATGAAATATTTAGTGATATTATGCTATGTTATGTCTAGTTTGCGAATGCGGCGATATCTTTGATGATTAAACAGATGTGGAATGGGTATCGGATTGATGCAGAAATTCAAAACGCAAGTTCATACTTCATGACGCCCCAGTAAGACTTCAGCCGCCCATAAAATGATCGGAATGTCTCCTGTATTCGTCTTCGCCCCGTCCACACGGCTGTCGACAAGGCCCCCGTGGCACAGATCCCGACCAGAGTCCATTGGAAAACCCCCTCGGAGAAGATGGAGAGTGACGAGCGGATGGTTTCGGCGGCGTTCTGTGATTCTCGTGATCAGCATCTTAGGCCACGGGAAGAAAAGCGGGAAGCATCAAATAACTTAACATACCCATGTCTCGAACACCTCGAACACCCTCGTTACCCCCATGTGATTACCCTCGAAATCCACCGCCACCAGCCGAAAGTAACCATTCCCCACAAGTTCGACGGTCGTCTCGAACCCCTCCTTCGGTTCGTACTGGACGCTCTCGAACTCCTCTTCCGGGGCACTGCCATTGCTGGCCCGCTGCAAGACCCAGCCCGCCACATCCGTCGCCCCGTTCCAACTCACATACGCCGTGTGTGCCGTTTCATCCACCTCGACGTCTGGCGGATCGCGCGGTCGCCCGACCCAGTGGGACTTCTGCGCACGGTACGATTTAGTCCACCCAAGCCAGAAGAAGACCCGGGGGCCCCAGTGAAAGTCGCAGAGGAGGTCGCCATCGGTCCTGAACTCGGTGTATGCCGAGGATTTCCCCCAGCCAATGAACACATTCCCGGTTCGCGGGAGAACTTGCAGGCTGCCCTGCGAGTGGCTGCTGGAGCGGCCTGGGCTGTCGTAAACATGGAGGGTATCGGCTGTCCACTCGGCAAAATCGAGTTGGATCATGAGACCCCGGGAATGGTCGCAGGTGTACCCGTTCTCGTAGGCGGCGTTGTCGAGCAGGGTGAGTACATTGTCCGAGTGCCAGCGCGCGTCGTGCTGCCAGGTGAACCCCGTGGCCGAGCCATCAGATGACATATCCCGGAAAGTGTTGCGCTTCCCACCCAGCACCCACAGGATTTCCCCAGTCGAACTGATGCAGGTGACAGTGTGCATGTAGCGGGACGATATGAGGTAGCTTCCGTCCCTGGGATGCTTGTCGATACTATTGATATGGAAGTAGTCGTACGCATCCTGTGCGGAAGGCGAGGAACCCTTGTCGCCGAAGGGGAGGTATGATTCGTCGATGGCATAGTGATCGCGTGCGCGCCACTCGAAAATAAGCTCGCCTGTCTCAATATCGATCTCCTGGAACAGGCTGTCGTAGATCCAGCCGTCTTCAGGCCCGTCGACTGCGCTCAGATCCGCCTGGCAGATTTCGTAGATTGTCAGGATCGCGGTGCCTTGGTCGGTGATTTTGAACTCGTGCAGGTCGCCTTGATGGCCGTTGGCGGCTGAGACAATGTGGACAACGTCGTAGGAGGAATTGAGCTATTCAAGCGTGAGATGATTAGTTCAGCTGGCAATCACATATGAGCATCGTGCGGCAAGGCCCACCATGTAGTACTGCCCCATGCCTCGGGTACCATCATACTCGCCAGCCCAGAAAGTGAGATAATCCTGGCCCTGGTACTGCTGTACCTTCAAGTCCATGACCTCCCCGAATGCGCGCTCCATCCAGACTAGATTCCCCCGGTGGTCGTAGACTAAGGGACCCGGTTCGGGATAGCTATGACCACGTGGGCTGAGAAAGACATAGCCTTCTTCACAATCGGGATGCCATTGTTTCACATGAACCTCGGGGGACTTCATGCCGACCGACTCATAACTCAGCGTGGGATGCGGGCCGAACAACCCCAGTTCATACCAGAGGCCGTGCCATGAGAAGGCCGTTGCCAGTAAGGGCAGGAAGCCCCAGAAAACCAGCAGTGCGGCCATCTATGGTCGGAGATAGAATGGCCTGAGATAGAAGAACAGGAGGAGAATGCATTTCGTGAACAGCAGCGGAGAAAATCATCTTGTAGGGTTGAGGTGAGCCATCCTAATCCAAGTGGACACAGCATGACGCGGTCGATCATGGATTGCAAAGCGACTGACGAGTCAACGTCGGTTTGAACCGAACCGGCCCCATTAGCGGTCGTCGTTCGTTGGCTTGTGTTCCACTGATAGTCCCCAGCAGTTCTGAACCCACGTAAACAAGATTCCCTTAAACCCACTTGGGGCGACGCTAGATTGTTTAGGCCGTGGAGAACCACGCGGAAATTCTCGTTGTCAAAGTTCCAGCTGTCGTCGTACCCATGGTTTGCACAAGAACATCCGTCGGCAGGCTGAGCAGGCAGATAGATAGTAAGTACTGCGGATAAATCTTTTGAAGGGGGATGAGTTTGTAGAAGGGCTGCTATAATGTACTGTACTTTTTTTTTTTTCGGATTGCATCAGCTGCACGGCTTCATGCAGCGCACGCTGTACTGTACCTCTTCGCAAGACGGCAGCAACATGTTCAACTTGGGCGGCTCATGTCATAACCTGATCTGTGATGATTGATGGAATCTCATGCCGTGGCTTCGAAGCAAAAAAAAAAAGATTGTGTCTGAGGCACAGCTGAGGGTTCGAATGGCGAAGTATGGAGCCTGGGAGCAGAGCAGGAGGTGCAGATACGAACTTGGAAGGCAGATAGATGCATACATCCCAAACTTGAATCATTGCTATTGCTACTTTCCTCCTCTCCTTCTGGTACTTCTCCTCACACCAACCTTTTGCTCCCTCTCCACCTTTTCATCCTCCTGTTCAATCTTCCCACGCTTCCTCTTCCCCCGGATGTCTTGAAGATCGATTCCCTCCTCCCCCTTCTCCTCCTCCTTCTCCTCCACCACCACCCTCTCCATCCCATCCTCACTCCCAATTCCAAACCTCACCACAAACGCCACCTTCTCAATCTCCAGATACCCAACCCCCTCCCCCAACCTCCCCCTCAGCCTCCGCACCGCATCCCACAACTCACGATACTCCCCAACATTATACTTAACATTCAACTCCCCGCTCTTCCCAGGCTTAAACGCCTTCCCCACCCTTTCCGGATCGCCCCCAGGGAAAACCCCCCAACACAACCACAGAAACACATCATCACTATAAAACGGCACCCCATCAACCTCACCATCAGACGGCAAACCCGAGGACAAAACAGACAATACCAAACTCCCCGTCGCAGGCCCCACCCCCCTCAACGGCCCCGTCACCTTCTCCAACGCCGTCCCCGGAAACATCTCCCGCAGTTCTGCAGTGCGCAGCAATTGAAATGCCTCCCCCGTCGCTTCCCGCACCAGGCTTTCGGAATTCGAGCGGATCATCCCCAGTAATGCGGGGCGGAATTTCCCGTGTTTCCTTTGGACCATTCCTTAGTTATGCTATGGAGTAACTATAGCTGAGGGTGGGAGTAGTTGATATGTTATGCTCGGATAAACCCGATCATATAAAGTAGAGAAGTAGGAAAGCGTGATGGATCGAGCAAGGCATGAGGTAGTAAGGGGGGGGGGGGAAACGTACATCTTCCACTCGACCAGACGCACCAATTCCTCCTTCTCGAGATACGCCCTCCCTTCCCCATCATCCCCGGTAGTGGTCGAGGCGCGTTGACGGACTGCATGTGGGAGGGTCGTGTAGCGGAACTCGTCGAGGGCGAGGTAGGTTTTCACGGCTGCCGGCGCATCATCGGGGTCCTCTGTTACGGTGAGGGTCGAAGTAAGATCCTTGGATGCGGATTTGCTTTTGGGTCTGCTGCTGGCGGCGGATTTCTTCTCGGTGGTGGTGGTGGCTTTGCGCCGCGTGGTGGATTCCACGGTGGATGGGTATCTCGCTAGAAGGGATTGCAAGGTTTCCTTCGTGATGTGGTCGGGGTCATAGGTTTTGTCGGTGGCCATTGTGATGGTGATTGTGAATCGGAATAAGATGGCACAATAGAAGTCTACAATCCTGCTCAAGTTGTTCAAAGCTTCACGGTGGTGGTACGGCTAGCACCAATACAGACGTGGAGATTATGCTTAGGTAACGATCCACGATCCCCCCTTGGCTGCGTCTCATATACATCTATTACTTCACTTCCAATTCAAGTATCCAAATGAGCTACAGAGTAGAATTTCCGTTGAGTATTGCATATTGATGGCTTCGTTGTCTAATGATAAGCTGTAAGAGTCCGTCTCCCATCAACATCTCACTGCACTTCTGCACAAAATTGTCCAAAATCCATCCCGTGATTTCTTCACCCACACAATTTATCCACTGAACCGAAGTCTGATACATGAAAGGTTAAGAGGAGAGATATAACAGCAGAATTACAAAAGGCAGAGGGTCTAGCCCCGAAATGAAGCGAAGTTCTATCGTGTATCATCCGGACTCTGCTTTGGGTCACCCTTGGCAGGTTTCGAGTCGGGGTTAACAAAGCTCACCCGCTTCTCTTCCTTACCGCGTGATGGAACCACTGATGGCGCCATGAGTCGGTCTTTCTTTTTGATGCTGCCACGTCGCAGCGACTTCGATAATGGTGGTGCCCGGGGTGTCCCCGTGCTTGCCATCCCTATATCTGACTTCGCCGGAGTCGCAGCAGCCGATCGCGCGCTATTCTCGTCGCCATCTTCGACATCAATATGGCCCAGGTCTTCGTCATGATCACCTGCTTCAGACGAACTAGGCCCCGGATCCGAATCCGACACATCCCCGTAATCATCGTCATCACTCACGAGACTCGGGGCTTGATTTGACTCGGCTGTATTCGGACTGAGATTCGAGGCTTGTTCTGTCCCTTCCAGTTCTCGCAGAGCTCCACTCTGCGAGCCCTGGGGAAGACAAGACATGGAAGGATACGGCGACTGGTAATCATTAGGCCGGGTGGGTGTTGAGGTATGCAGGGGTGGAGGCCTGTGATCAAGGAAATCCAGTCCCTTGCGGCTACCGGGGCGCCGGCTTGTCGCCTGCGAGGCTGTCGTGCGCATCGGTTGCCTGCCCGCACGGGCTCCCAGCGGTGTCTGATCCTGACTCATCTCCGCCGAAGGTTGCACGGACCCTAAGTCTGACTCGCCATCGTCATCATCAGAATAGTCATTCAAGTCTACCACAGTCTTGGCATCTCCGACCAGTTGTTCTAGGTCAACCGCAACGCCCCGAAGCTTCATCAGATTCGACAAATGAGGAGTCGCAGGGGAAGACATGAATGGACCATTGCCTTCCGTAGCGGGCGTTGTCTTTTGATCAGCGCTAGATGCTCGAGGCGTCTCCACTCCGGAGGGAGTCTGTCGAACAGGGCTCAATCGTTTTCGAGGAGTCACAGTGGCGTCGGATACAGGTGTAGGCGTCTTGGGAAGCGGCTCAATGACATGCGCCGACCGAATCAACGGATGAATGAAACCAGCTGTGGCCGGGCTGGAAGTTTCAATTTTGCCGCCTATTACTGCGCCAGCCTCGTCCACTTCCACAGGTTCGCCCGACTCAACTGCCGCCGCTTCATGGCTTGCGTAGTTTCGGCTGTGCGCGATACGGCAATGATTAATGAATCCCTGCGTGCTAGAGAAATTGTCCCGGCGACAATCCAGACACACGAGCTTGACGAGTAGATTATCCGATTTTCGTCGGATGAGCATTGGCCCAGTCTTGTCCTTTGGTTGCGGGTAGCCGTTGGGTAGAGACTGCAGTCTCCCACCTGTGCCTCGTTGCGGTCGCGTCTTACTAGCAACGTACCCCAGATCCCCACAGCTTCCACGAGTCGAGCGTCCTTCAGTCCATGGACTAGCAAGGCCGCCAGTCATAGGCGTAGCAGGTTCAGGTTCACCGCCATCAAAACGAGGATCTGGGATTAGCCATCTTGCAAGATGGCGAGTGTACGGGCCGTCAGTGACACCCCAGGGTGCTGGAGACAATGGCGCAGACCCATTTTCAGGAGCCCACACTGCCATGCCCGTTCCGCCGCTGACCGCTGGCGAATAACCCGCCACATTCGAACCCGGGTAAGGGATCTCTGCGCATCGGCGCAGTTGCTCCAACGCGACCTGACACTTTGCGATTTCCTGGTCGATCAACCGAAGTTCGTTGTGTTTTAACAACACCTCCAAGCTCAGTTGCGCTTCAAGCGTTTCACGCAGCGTGTCCACATCCACCTTTTGTGAGCCGGTGTTCTTGGTTACCGCAGGAGGTTCAGATGCGCCCTGACTTGGAGGAGGGGGCGGCGACGACTGCGACGTCTCGGGCGGCGAATTTATCGGAAGACTGTTGGGCGCTTCGAATGACACAATATCCGTGTTGGTGGCGGCTGACGAGATATCCTGCTTGATGGCGACAGAGCCGCACGGCGCGTTCTCTGAGCGCAGCTTGGTCGCGACCGGAGCATCCTGATCAGGCGTCATATCTGTAGAATCTGAGCGCTTGCGCTTCAACTGAGGCAGAGGGATGGCGCTGACGCCAGGCGCAGGGCATGGCGGAGTCGCAAGCATTTTCAGCTCCTCCGCCATCACCTTGTTTCCCCCTATTGCAGAGGACCAGGGTAGCAGCCGAAACATGCCATGCGAGTTGTGGTCGCAAGTCCTTATGGTTTGTGACTTGCGTTGCGACAAATGCGCCAGGGTTTGTTAGACGAGAGAAGAGTGCGCACGACGAATCAAGGATTGATTATATGCTCCGCTGAACGACCATACACCAGTGTATGCGAAATGGGACCGATCTAAATGTGGAGAGGAGAGAAGAAAGTGAAGTAGAGCGAAGCGCTCAACGAGGGAATGCGTGTCGCTGCCGATCGGTCGGACAAGTCGTTTGCGACCGGATGAAACCCAGCAAGGGGTGGGGGGAAGGGAACACGGGGCAAGAGTCAGAGGGAGGGAGAAAGTTACCCCAGCGAAAAAGAGACAGATGCCGGAAGCTCCAAAGGGTAGGTAGTAAGCATGCACCACGCAATGATGAGAGGGGAGAAATTGTTCAAATTGATTTGTTGATAGCGTAATCGGCCCAGACAAGGAGGATATTCCAATAGCAGTTGCAGTAGGTTAGAGTAGTTGGGTGGGTGGGTGGGTGGGGAGGTAGTTAGATAGTAGTAGTGGCAGTAGTAGGGTAGGTATAGTAGTTGCAGAAGTGGTCGGTGTGATAAGGGTAAGTAGGTAGAATAGAAGAAGAGTATCAGTAGGGCGCAAGAGATGGTAGGTTAGTTAGTGGTGATAGGGAATGGGTGGGAATAAAGCCGAAGAACGATAACGTGGAATGATAATGACACGGATAATAATGATCATATAATAGTAAGAATACGGAGTTGGGAAGCGTATCCGTACTTTGTTGTTTCCTCCTCCTCTTTTTTTCCCAGTTGAGGTCACATGTAAGACGGGAAGACAACAGGCAGGCTGCGACAGGAAAGGGAACCTGGAAGCGGGCGCGGCGATTGACGCTCGGGAGGCGAATTCCACGGACACTCGGGCAGTGGGCAGTGGGCAGTGGCGTAATCTATTAATAATGGGGAGTGGAGGGATACAAGCAGCAAGGTTGATGCGTCCAGTGGGTTGGCTCACTTCTTTTTGGCTTGTTGCCTGGATAGTAGAAGAAAGTTGAGGGTGCAGCCTTAGGAAGAGAAAGAGAGACGGAGAAAGATGTTGATGGGGAGGGATAAGGGAGTAGGAGAGGATGAAAGAGAGAGAAGATAGGAAAAGAGCTGGACAAGGAGAGGATCGTTTGAATTCAAAAAAGGAAACCAGTCCAGAATAGCTCCCTCAACAGCACGATTCAGGATACACCACCTTGAAAGGATGCAGAGCAATAAGAATAATGGCCCGTAAACAGGAACCTAAAACGGGAGGGAGGAAGCAGAGTCCAATGAGTGTGGACCAGGCGAAGATTGTCTTCCGACCAGGGACCAAACCGGTTTAAGCAACGCGAAAGGTTATTTGGCAATGATGAAGAAAGCTGGTTGAGGATGGATAATAATGGTGTGGAGAGGAGAGAGAGCAGTTGAGGGAATAACAAAGAAGCTGGGAGAAGAGGGCGGAAATCGAGGGATTCACAGTTCACAGAGGTGTTCAAGGGAGGCGATGATATAAACAACAAAAAAAATAACCAACAAGAACAGGAACACAAACGACTAGAAGAGAAGAAAAGAGGAGGAGAGAAGAGGGAGGGGGAAGGGGAGAGAGAGCGAATGTGTTGTTGTTTTGTTAGTGATTTAGTGTTAGTTACTATTGATTGATGATTGACTTATTTTCAAGTGATGGGGATAGTAGTGTAGTCCTGGCACTGGTAGAGAAAGAAGGGAAGAAGAGGGGAGAGAAAAGACTAAAGAGAGGGAAATGGGGTTCTTCTTTCATCATCGTCACTACAAACTAACTAACTAAACTAGAGTAACTAACTTGGGTCCACTACTTTTACTGAGAATCTGGGAGTCTGAGAGAGGAGGGAGGGGGTTTTACCGCCTTAATTCACTCTGGGGTGGGGAGTCCACCTTTCTACTCTGCGCACTCCGTCCACTACTGGATTTACTGATACATCCTCTGATACTGACTCTGTTGGTACTCGGTACCATTGCTCAACTCGCCCATCAACCTATGAGATCGCTAGCAGCCTACAGCCAAGCTGCAAGTCCCTACGATTTCGACTCATTGTCCATGCGAGAAGCTGCTTGTGTTGATGCTTGTGGTGAGTCTGCCATACAGGTCGAATCATCCATCATCCATGACTGCCTGAACTTCCAAACCAGACGAGTGGAGCCTGAATCGAAGAATCCTGGGCCTGGACTGGTCCATGGATGGCCGGGGTACCGCCTGCGCTAAACTGTCCACTATTCCTGAAACAGTTGAAGTGATGCTGCTCTCTCTGTCCCAGGCTGTTGCTGCTGTTGCTGTTGCTTCTGCTTTGCCTTGCTGCTGCTGCGGCTTGCTGCTAGCCTGCTACCTACCGCAAAACCTACCACAAACTACGAGTACAACCCACTGTATCGTATAGTAACCTCAGATACCCGGTTCTTGGAGCATACGTCTCTAACTCTCTCTTTCATACCTCTCTTTTCACACCCAGACCAATGCAATGGAAGACTCGCTTACCGCGATGTCAACAGTGCAGCGCATGCACCCCTCATCAACAGGCCCATCAGTGAGCCATATCTGCTTGTTCCATGGATTTGGATCTCATCTATCCTGAATTAGCTTTGTCACACATGGTCATTGTCTTTCCTCTCGCCGTCAAGTCTCCTGCCCGTCTACGCCCCCCCTCCTTCCTCCTCGTATGATAGATCGACCTGATCGTCGCGTTTGCCCACCGTGCGGTGTCGTTACATCATCCACTCTCGTCGCCACCCGCGCTGTCCTCTGCTCCGTGCTCCACTTTAGCCCATTATAGTTCGCAATTGAGTTCACTATGATCGCGTCGACATAATCTAGTGCTTGGCTGCCCATGTGTTGGGGCCGCTATCACTGGAGGGTTGCTGCACTTCCGAATCCTCCGCGACGGGTGGACATTCTAGTGTGCTCTGTGATGTGTTCTAGAATAATGTTCAATGGTCAGAATCCGTGGTGTGACAACTTTTGTTGTAGCGTCCCTTGTTCTGAGACCCAAACCGTTGGCCATACGTACTGCACCTCAACATTAACTTATCTCTCTCCCTGTCCCTGGCCCAGTAACTCGAGTGCCATTTGAGGGCGCTTATATTGTCCAAGGGAGTCTCATGAGCTGCAACTGTCGTGTGGCAATGGAGAGGAGAGCTACTCAAGGAGTTGAAGCGACAAACTCTCTAGGCTAGCAATCGTTACAGGAAGCTAATAAATGTAGGAGCATGCCATGACTCGCGCAGTGTGTGACATATGCGATAGACGGGCAGTGGAGCTCTCCTTCTTTTCACAACTAAGTCGCGGTAAGAACAGCTCCCCTATCACCGTTCAGGGACACTCAAACAAGCCTGACACCAAAATAGCCATGCAAGTGTGACTGCCATGCTCTGTGCAATGATCAGTTGCGCGACGACATAAGTATAGCTACTCCAAACTTAGCTGCTTCCATGCACGTAGTTCTCTCTCTTAAAGTTTTCTCTCTTCCCCGCACCCCGGCCAATGCTTACGGCCAGCATTGGCTAGACAATTCAGCAAACCAAAATCCACTATCACTAGGGCATCTTGCATTTTTACTTAGGGATTCGTCTTGCAGCCTGCGGATCGGAAAGAACATCTCAATCATCCCTCCAATGATACTATCAGATCATTGCCCAGTCCCGACAATTTCGCACTGATTCCTGATTCTTCCATGAGGGTATCCACGACTTTAGACGAAGATGGACCCATAAAGGGGAGATAGTAAGTGATAATCGACTGTCTAATCTGTTTCACCGGAGAAGCCAAGAATCTGTTTCCATTGCACATTCTATTCTATGTGCCACACGGATAAATGACCTCTCATCCTATAGTCCAGCGACTAGAACGCATCTCTTATTCATGCACATTATCTTTGACATTACCTCCACCCTTCTAGCCAAGATAGAGATAGTGTTATCATGGATCTGTCCAAGCTATCCTGGGAAGGGCTCGTGTGCCAATTAACTTAGAGCAAGGCCAATCACCGTTCAGACAGCTCTAAGCACCCACCACACTGGCCAGGCGACATACATCACAACACGAACCTTGCATGCATCGGACGGCCTTGAGGGCACGGTCCTACTTGATGATACACCTTGTTATTGGTCAATATCCACACGATGACCTCCAACCGCCCTGACACGATGCGCGGGTTGCTGTGGGAAGCTATAGTAGGTTATTACAATGCAGTAAATTGATGGAAATGGAGGTTGGTGGCCATTGATGACTGTGGTGAAAGCCTAAGCACCGAGTAAAGAGTATGACTATGACTGTAGAAGCCGCGAGAGCGATCATTGAAACTGTGTAATATTGGTATAAGGCACGATCAAAAGTGAAGCGGAACTAATCACAAATTGAGAACGTAAGAACAATCACCTCCAGCTTTTATCCCACATTCCCGTCCAATCGCGCCTGGTTGATGCAAGTTGCAGGGTCTCGTCAATTGGATCCATGTTCGAGCCCAACATATACGGCATATGACAAAAGCGTAGGTAGGAATGCTGCCCAAAACAAGCTATAAGATCAATGATAATCCAGGCCGCGCCAACAAACTCACCTAACCACGACTCAACTTCATCCCGGAGTCATATAGAGACGAAACATAAAGCAACATGTATCAATTGGGAGAACAACACTGTCAACGCCATAGACAAAATCAGTGACCAGCACCGACATCGAACAAAACGAAAATAGATCTACCTTCTACTTAAGTCATTCACATAGTTTTTTTTTTCGTCATCCAAGGACCCATTCAGGTTCGCACTCTGGAACAGTGCCGTCTCAATCTCATCAATGCTCCCCAGGTCATAACAAATCCAAGCAACCTCTCGTCACACACTCCTCTTCTTATTCCGTCATGCGCAGAATGAAGTTCACAACCACAGCGGCCAGTAGCGCCAGCGCCAACACGGTCGGTCCGAACCGATCGTCGATGCCACTCTGGCCGCGTTTACGTATACTCTGCGCCCGCCAGTGGAAGGTCACCAGGGCATAGATCATGGCTGCCATGGCGATGACGGTGAACAGGCCTGCGGAGATGCGGCCGATGCGGTCACCGAAGTTCAAAAGACCGACGGCTAAACCACCGAGGATGACAGTGAAGTTGAGCCAGGAGAGGAAGGTACGCTCGTTGGCGAAGAACACCTTAGGCTCGACACGGGTGGGCAGGGCAATGCGCTTGCCTTTGGAGGTTTCGTTAGCCACTGGACAGTGAAGCTAAATGACATTGGTGGCTGCTGGAATCAAAAGAAAACGTTTCACTCACCAGGAGCGGTTTGAAGGAGGGGCTGACTCGACATCGCGTGGAATGGCAGGGATTAGGGTGTGGTAGGGCTTGGGTAGGTGTTGTTGGTAGTCTGAGCCCGCAAGGGAGGATGGCTATGGGAGCTATGCTGAGGTTTAGCAAAGGGTGAAAGATGAGAAAGAGAAGAGGAGAGGAAAGAGGAGGGAAAAAAAAAAAGACAGAGCAGAGCTCCAATTGAGGTTTCTAGTTTGGCGCACGAGGAGGCCAAATGAAGGGGCTAGGCCAAGATAGCACTGGCTAGTTCTTTACTAGACGGATTGGAGCGAGGAAGAAGACGACGGCATTGATGTAATATGAGACCGGTATTAAGAGGACGGGCGGTGATTCGAACACAGGACGAGGTCCCCGCGCCTTTGACGGCCGACACCTTCCCCATTGTTGCCATAGCGGTGGCGCACCCTTCTGTTCTGCCCATGCCCACCGCCAGATAGCGCGCACGTGCTCCAACTGTTTGCTGTGATTGATAGCCTCAGGTCTCCATTGGCCACTTCCATTGTTTCGGATCATCAATGCCCCGGTAACTGTGGCGGTGGTACCGGAACTATTCCATAGTGGGTAAGCAGCTCTTTCCCTTGTCCCTTTACGGCCTAGCGGACTGCCAGACACAGCCAACCAGCAGTCCGCAAAGCCACACTTATGATGCCGCCTCAACTAGGTTGCATGTTTCCAAACATCCAAACAACCCTCCTGATAACAACAGCGTGGAAGGATCTCTCTCATTCTCTTGCTTCACTCTTTCTTCTAGATCTCTTCGTGTGCTTCTGCATGCAATAGTTGGAAGTTCGCATTTGGTTAGTCTGAGCCAGCCCTATTTCCCCTCCTGTTTGTCAGAGAGCCAGAGAGTCTGACGTTCTTCCCCCCCGTCTTTCGGAGCCACATTCCTGGCTTCCCTGTCCCTCACTTACCCACCCCACAATCACCACTCCAGCGTCCCGTGGTTGTGCCCACCGTCTCGACCCAGACAAGACACCGCGGAGCTTCTATCTTTCCCCTCTTTTGAACTACGCTAATCGAGACATCGAAACTTGCCTTCAGTAAACGGTCTAATCAACTTGCTTAATCACAATGGCCGTCGAACCCGTTCCCACGTCTTCTGTACGTCTTCAACTTCGCCTTATGCATCCGTTGTCTTAGAAGGCGGGCTGTCATCACCTGCTCACGAGACCGGCAAACGAATCCACTGCTAACAATTCACTTCTAGCCCGTGGCCACTTCCGAACTGACCAAGATAGCCACCGAGGTATGCATTCCGGATAGCATCAGCTGGAATTAGTGAAACCGTCTCCGCGAAAATACCATTGCGATTGACCTTCATCACACTGTCGCCAAATACTGAATTGTCCCCTTTCCCTACGTCTTGCATCCGAGCGCACACAAGCGACGACACACTAACCAGCAGACCCTCCACAGGCCTGCGATTTCGCCCTCAAGGATGTAACGGAATACGATCACTCCCGGGTCGCAGACTGGAACTCGCACATTATTGTATGTCCGCCTTTCTTCTCGGTCTATAAATTCACCGCGCGAAACGCGCAACCAGCCAAAACCCAAGACTGACCATGTTGCTACCTGGCCCGCCCCAGAACACTATCCTCAAAGCCCTCATCAGCGCCACGGCTCCCTCCACCGCCTCGTCTTCTCCCCCGTACCGCTTCGTTGTGAACAGCACCATTGTCCAACAGGGCCTGATCGACAAGTCCGCCGCTGCGGACGGTGCCACCGCCAATGCCGGCAAGCGCGGAATGCACTCCGCCTCCGGCGCCTTCTGGGACGTCAACCGGGACGGGATGTGGACATTTAAATACCCTGGTGCCGAGGAGAGGGGCCTGGACGTTGTTGTCAGTGTGACGTGGTTTGCACTGGGTTGAATCGCCAGTCTTGCAATATAGGAGTGGAGGAGGAGGACTTGCACGGGTTGATATATTGTGACATTTTTAAGGTCATAGTGGTTATCTACCAGCGAGAGCTATCGCGCGTTGATTGGTTATATCAATTGGAGCGGGGTTGGCACTGTGTTCTGGTTTACCTTCTTGGAATCGCGAGGTTAATTCTCTTTTTTTTTTTGGAAGCCGTGATTCTTGTTGTGCTGAGAGAATGGAGAGTGATACCATGGTCTTGTTGTAATAATTGAATTTTGAGGATATATTCCTACAGATGTAGCAGATTTCCCTCCCAAGTATCGAATAAACTCGCATGTGGTATTTGAATCGAAAGGTCTTGCTCTCAACATCCCAAAATTAGAGATAAGCGCACATAGCTCCTGGAAACTCCCAAATGGTAGAAGGCAAAACAGATGCCCGTCCCCAATACAGTCAAATCAAGCCCAAGCCGAGTCAAATCAGTGAAATCAATACCTAGCGCCATGCTAACCCACAAAGCCCCTGGAAAGATGCGAACGACAGCACGAAGCGGACGGATAGCGAAGATCGGTCGTTGTAACGGGGTTTCTCCCATTCCTCGAATTTGAAAAGCAAATCTACCGGGGTTCGGAGTAATCATTCAATGCCACGCATACCGCCCCGCGATGATGACCACTATATTGTCGAATGATCTGTCCCGATGCCAGCTCCCACAGACGCGCATAGTGGTCACTAGATACGGTGACAAGGTACGCAGAGTCGGCGGAGAAGGCACAGTCCCAAACCCAACGTTGGTGGTTCGCAAGCGTAGTTTCGAGGAAGAGAGTGCCTGTGGTGGGGTCCATAGGAGGACCGTCTGGCTGGACGGGGAAAGTTTGCTGGGGCTCGTTGTTGACAATTGGCGGTGTACCGTTAAAAAGACTGAGAGGATTGATTTCGATCTCGGATTTATTGCTGTTGGGGGACAATGGGTCTTGGCTGTCGGGTGTCGATGTCGGAGATGATGATGATTCGGGTGCCGCAAGCGCCTGGGCTTTGGCTTTGGCGGCGGCCATCTTCGCGGGAGGGTAATCGAGGTCAAGATTCCATACTTTTGCGGTGTGATCTGCTGAGCATGTTGCTAGGTGTTTGACGTCCGGGGAGAGGAGGACGCGGGTAAGGTAGTCTTTGTGTGCTTGGAAGGTGCAAATGGGGACAATGCGGGTGAGCTCGGCATCTTGAATCATGCGCCAGATGTAAACGTTGCCCTGGATTTATGATTATGAGTCTGCTGCCAAGCTGAATCCGCATGTGTACGGGGGCTGAATGGGTACCTTCTTGTTTCCTGCGCAAAGGAGGGACCCGTCGCTAGCGACGCTCACACTATGTACGGCGACGTCGTCTTCGGGGATCAGCTGGTGGGTGCAGACACTCTCTCCCAGATCCCAGACACGAACGATACCGGCGCGATCTCCACTGATGAGTTCGCCCTGGTTGGGATGGATGACCACGTCGTTCACCGGGGCTTTGTGGGCGTAGTTGCGCTGCAAACTGCCGGTGCGCGTGTCCCACACTTTGACAGTGCCATCCTCGGAACTGGTGACCATCCACTTTCCCTCGCAATGAAACGCGACACCCGTGATGTTATTCGTGTGGCCATCGAAGGTCATGACCGGATTGGGATTGGTAGACTTGATGTCATACAGTTTGACATTGTTGTGTCCAGCGGCGGCCAGGAACCGCTTGTCTGGCGTGATGCAGAGACGGTTCACTTGCGAATCTGGATGCTGAATTGTGCGCGAACAGATTCCAGACAGTGCCTCCCAGAACCTAAAAGTGGTTAGCGACAGCGCTTATTTCAGAAGCAGTGACCGTCATGTCCATACCGAATAGTGTGGTCGTAACCCGCTGGTTGTCGCAAATTTGTGGATCATTGGTTAGTTGATTGTATGGAAGAGAGCGTGTCTATTAGAAGACTGAAAGTCTGATCGCTTACCAGTGCAGAGAATGACGCTCATTTTCAAGACGCGCAAAGGGAGGAAGAAAACTGAACGGTGGTGGAAAGAGTATGGAGGGACAAGGACTCGGGAGCTGGTGAACATCGAAGGTCAGTCAGCCAGCCGAAGCCGCTCGGCTTCCTGCCGGATCTATGTTAAGGCTGCATCAAGGTCAGGACGAGCACGTGGGCGGTCAGCTGAGCGGTGGTAAAGGCGGTAAGACAGGCAAGGGATCAAAAAAAGCGGCGTTGATCTTCTCCATATCATCTTTCCAAACGTCGACAGCTGCAACCCTCGCAGTCTGTCTGCTTCAAAAGTGACTTAGGCGGCTGTCTGATATTTGGCGGGCTAAGTGCCTAGTGTCAGTCTCTGGCTCAGCCTGATCAACAAGATCTGAACACTTCTCATCGAGACTCCGAGTTTTCGCCCGAACTACTATGCGTCTTACGATCCCGTCAATGTTCGTATAGTGACTCGGCGCCTAAAGGAGGTACGGATTGCAGTTTTTATCTTTGTGACCAGACGCTTGAAAGGGACCAGTTTCTCATTTTCATTCTCAATAGCCACTGCGCGATCGATGGCGGGCATTTTTGGACTTTGAGTCCCGAGATCACCAGCACTTCCACGCTACCCTACCACCACAACAGCATCTCACGGCTGTCTTCTGGGCGCGCAGAACCTGGTCATCGGAGTTCTCGCTGCCTAGCCTTTCCCCTTATCAACGTTATTGAGAGCTCTCTTGAGCTGAGTGGAAGCATGGCTGAAGGTATTTCTACCTCGCTCCAGACCTGCCCTGCGGATTCTCAGAGGCTTCCTGCCCTCGAGGTTCTTCCGTCTCCCCCATGTATTTCTCATCTGCATGTGAATGATCCGGGGCTTACACCTTCCCCTGGGTCCCAGCTGCAGCGCTCTCCCGATGCCACCCGAAATGGAGAACACGGCCAGTCCGTTGAAGAAGCAAATTCCACCTCAGTCGACCAGCACATTGCGCCCATACCCACGGACCGACCCAAGAATACCACAACGGACTTGAGAGACGAAGAGACTGAACACACAATAAGCGAGCACAGTACATCGCGCCTGTATGAAGATTCGTCGGCAACGACTGCGCCCCAGCTGGACCTTCATGACTCGCCTACTGCGCCTTTAACGGAGACAGCGGACTTGTACGATCCTTTGTTCGACTCTGAGCTGATGTTTCATGAGCTTGACGCCGCTTTCGACTCACGCAAGCGAGCTGGCGCGGAAGCATTTGAGCAACCAGACCTCTGGCAGCAGGCCTCGAAAAGGCAGGCTATTGAATCAATCCGGGATGAAATTACCATAACGCCAGACAAAACACCGTCACTGTCTTCTCTCGACTCGGCCTTGCAGCCTGATCGAACCGGAACTGGTCCTCACACACCATCGGACCCTGACCAGCAGTCAACGCCTGCGGCCTTGTTCGAAGCTTTCGGTTCATTGTTTGAGGATTCACCCTTTGATGGTCCCATGGAGCTTTCCTATGATGGACTGCCTGACTTTGACTTTCATGAGCTAAGCCAGGAGCTGGCCAGCGTCAAGGCACCTCCTAATGTCAACATCGCCCCTGAGGATACGCTATCAATCAGCGAGATCACGAAAGAGCGGTTCTCTATCGACGACCAAGATCTGATTGACTGCACAAGCCGAGAGATTCTGCAGCGGGTGCACCAAGAGCCACCTTACGTATCACCATATCCAACTTACGCCGGGCCTCTGGGCTACCTGCCGTCTGCTCCCAACATTCATGTCCAATATATCGAGGTCGCAGAGGATAAGGCCAACTTCCGCTTGACCTCATTGAGAAACCGGGTGCAGCAGCTTTCAGTGGAGCGACACAAGCTGAGGACTAAACTGGATCATATAACGGAAATGAGCACGATCGACAGGCGAACGGGAAAGACGCACTACGAACTGCTCCGCGAACAGAATGCTATGCTGCGACGGGTTTGCACTCAGCATCAGAACAGGGTGGAACGATACAAAAAAGAGGCGGATGAATGGAAGAGCAAGCTTCATGACCTTGGCACTGTCTATAACAATCTCCTATATGAGATCCAGGTACAAAAGCAGACGCCGGCGGTCGCGGGGATTCCTAATGGGTACAAACCTCCCCAAAAGATCCAGCCTGCACCGAATCAGCAAGCCATTGCCCCAATACCCGGCGGTGTTACTGTGATTCCAGCTCGTTCTGCAAATCTCGACCCCGCAGCATCTCTCCAGCGCCCTATCGCTCCCAGCCCGCCCAAACGCGAACCGGTGACGATCGACTTGACTGCCGACGATCCACCGGACACGGCCAGCCCAACCCCAGCGGAGAAGCAGCGTCAAGCAGAGATGCTCCAATCCCTTCGCAGCAAAAAGTACGCTTGGCTGACGGACGCTGACGCGGTCGACCGCCACAGTACTAGTCTCCGCTCACGGCAAGGTTTTTGCGGCAATGGCGGTGGGCCCCAGGCCCTGGAAACAATGGGGGAGGAAGCAGCCGAACGGATCAACCTCTCCGCCTCCGGGCTTGCGTCAGCCGGTCGCATCGAACCCTCCGATCACGACAATGCTGATGATGATTTGGCTCGTATGATGGAGGAAGAGCTCGCACAGGGTTGTTGATGCAGACCCATCCATCTGACGTAATCCCTTCTTCGACTTTTGTTCTCCATTTGCGAAAATTTGATACCCATACCTGAAGAGATCAGATACCGTCACTTCTTCCTGCAAGATATCCATGTCGTTTTAGTTTTGATCTTCTCGGGAGTTTTATGTTCCCCGCTTACCAAAGCACTTCCTTGACTTTCACAACCACCTGAACCCAAATACCCTGTATGCCCATTGCATAGCTGCATTGTCGGTGTTATGTTCAATTGTTCCGAGTAGTTGTTGTCATCGCTTCCATAGTATCTAGTGAGTTTCCAGATACACAAGCTTACTAGCGATCTATTGCGGGGAAAGGGCCGCATGCATAGCCCGAGCTTCCAACTTTTGTTGTTCTATTCCAGTTTCCCTTCCCTTTCCGCCTACATCGCCAAAGATAAATTATCATCAGCGAGCGACACAGCTTCGAAAACCAAGATTTTCTGGACATGATCAATTTACAAGGAGAAAACTCAAAGGGAAATGATAATTTCATCTGAGCAAAGAGTCCTCAGCCAACAAAACTTCATAAGTCGTCAAGATCGTCAATTGAAAGTTTTCCCCCTCCCTCTTGCATTTCAAATGTAGTGAAAAGAAGTAATTAGGGGGAAAGATTCGGTCTAAAATCACACAAGTCCTGAGGGTTTCTTGCCCCACCTTTTCCCAAGTCCCCCGGATCTATGGTATGTGTTGAATCGGATCAGTTTGAGGGCTGATAAGAGGTATGTATGGGGATTGGGGTGTGATGGGGCTTGGGAATCCCGTTGCGAGGGGTATATGTGGTGGTAGGAATAGGTGGGAGCATGTATAGGTGATGCAAGATGTCGGATTGTGCAGGTGGTTTGGTTTTGTGATGAGCAAGGTATTGGTGCATTCGCTTTGGTTACTCTCAGCCCTAGAGAGTTCCCACTGAGAGGACGGAGTAAACTAAAAAGAAATCAGATCCCCAACCCCTCTCGCTTCTCCACATTCGACGCTTCGGACGAAGAAGCCGACGCCGGGGCCGCATCCGGGTGGTGCTTCTCCCGATCCGCCCGCTTCAACTGCTTCCTCGCCTTGCGGCCGCCACAGCACGAGGCGCAGCAGGACCCCAGCTGCAGGATGAAGGCGAGGAGATTGAACCCGGAGGCGATCCACATGAACGCCAGCATGCGGGTACCGAGGGAGGCGCCGATGTTGAGGTCGTAGTCGGACGAGGTGAAGACGTTGCGGAAGATGATGAACATGACGGTCGCGACCACCGAGGCGACGATGGTGAAGAGCGCCGTCACGAAGGTGAGGATGAGGAAGGGGAAGGCGCGCAGGAAGACGAAGGTGCGGCGGCGGTGCTGCGGGTGGGTTTGGTTGATGGTCGGGTCGGCGGAGATGGTCTGCGGGGGCCGCGACGAGACGGCCAGCGGCGAGAGGAAGATCAGGATGAACGTGAGGACGGTCGCCGTCAGGAAGAGGCCGAACATCCAATGCGAGGCAATCCGCGCGATCTTGAGGGCCGAGGTGATATCAGAGGGCAGGGCAACTGGTTGTTGTTATTCCGAGTTAGATTGAGCAGCTGGAAAATATATCTAGGGGAGAAAACGTACTGGTTGCGCCGGAGAGAAGCTCATTAAGGATGATCTCGACGGGGTTGAACCAGTAGAGAGTCTTGGGCTTCGAGCAGTTCGTAATCCCCTCGTCGAGGTAGCCTTCGCAGAAATTCCAGAGGCCGACTTGATAGAAGTCGTGCAACCCGATGGTCCGGGCGATGGTGTTGATCAGCACGGCATTTGGGACGGAGAGTGGGATGATATTGGCCAGATCGATCTTGAGGAAATAGGTCTCGCGGATGACGGGTTTGTCGGCGACATTGCCAATCACCACCAGAAGCAAAAAGATCCAAGCAATCAGGTAGCACAGCGAGCGGATGATGCGATGCCAGAGTACCTTGGACCGTGTCCTACCGGCTTGCGGCCGTTGGGTGGACTTGTTGAATGAAGGAAGCTTTGCCATGGGAATCGGCGCAACTATCGAGTTCGGATCCAGGCGGGTGACTTGGAGGGAAGCCCCGAGGAGTTCAGGGGAAGATCAGATAGCAAGCTGCGGAAATCAAAGAGGAGGCTGATGGTCTGAACGAGTGGTTGCGTGGATGCAGAGTCGGAAAATGCAGGGCTGGAGAAGAACTGCTGCAGAGGCACAGGAAAGTGCGTGGGTGTATATACTATACACCCAAGGTCCCAGAAACCCAACCGACCACAGTGGATGACGTTACACCTCCAGGAACCACGTGCTAGGAGAAATGACCAAATGTCAGGGTCTTTAGGTTTGGCAGAGGGTGGAAAGTGACAAATCCAATGATAAGGACTATAGGGGGAAGGGGGGGGGGGGGGGGAAAGAGGGAGAAGATGAAGAGAGTGGCAGAGACTGATGAGGTGGACTTGAGGTGGACTGAGGTGGAAAGGGGATACAACAGGAGAAAGATCGGACAAAAGTAAAATTATCAGGTCGAAAAATGAGAGACACAATGGAGACTGTAATGGGGGTGTAACAGCTCCGCCTGGCGGTTTAGTCGCACGTAATGACGGCTGCGGCGCCCAAGAAGGAAAGGATAAGATCTAGACCCTCAGGGACGGTTCAGCAAAGTGGCTGGTGAGATATGGATAAGAGGAGGTGAGGTTCAGAGGTGGTGACTTTGCGATGAGCATGGGCGCGCCACTCGAAGGCGGGGGCGGCCTTGATGGCCCAATTGAAACTAGATGATGATCGTGGACGATTTTTTTCCCAGTTGAATGGAATCAATTGACTGCAATGAACAATCTCCATAGGGCTTGGAAGACGATTGACCGGATTGACTGGCGATGGACTGCCTATCAGGGATGAATAAGCGATGAATTGATCTGCCTGGAACAGTTTCGGGAGCTCGATTGGGTGGATTAGACGCCTGCGACGTCACTTGAGGCAGTAGCGTGGCCCCACTTAGCTGCCGCCAAGAAAGCCATGCGGGGCGCTTACCGGAGCCGATCCTCCGATCGTCTTGCATGAATGTAGTCTACTCAGTACTGACGAAAATACGGAGTATGGTAATTGCTCAAGAGTAAAAGCATTTATTTCGGAGAACAGAACAACAGAGATGGTAAACCATTGACAACTTTGGTCTCGATAGAGACAGCGAACCAATGCCCAGCAAGCCCAACCAAGATGTTGTGTTCCATTCTGTAATCTAAATGGAACCCGTGCAATACAACTAGTTGATTATCAGTTTAATTTTAGCTCTGCATCGCACATCGCTGTTGGCATCGCCTTCTTTTTCCGAATACAATACAATGTGTCCTCACTTGAACAGTGCATGCCATTCAACTCTAAAATCGAACCCCACCACATACCCTATCCTATTGACCGAGTGTCAACCACGTCGGCATTTTCGCCAAGCTGTTTGAGCTTCGCTTGGATTTGCAGATCTTGATATGCAGCCCACACACTCAGGAGTTGATATGGGGTTGGTATGGGATCCCCTTCACGGACAATAAATTTCATTCTTGACTAGCTACAAAAGACCCAAGCTCAACTGTGTAGTTTAAAAGTCCCGTGTTGAGAGGGTCTAGACCAGAATTCAGTATTTGACATACTCATAATTACACAGTACCAAGTGCAGTTAAAAAAAATTAACCCGAGAAAAAGGGCCCAAAGTAAAGGAAGGTTCAGCGTGGCGCAAGTTTTAGGTTAAGCAAGCAAATGTCGTCATTGGTTGAAATGGGGGCAAGGTTGCAGCCTAATCAAGTAATGAGTACCATTGCAGGGGTTGTCCTTCGGGTTAACTTACTGGTTACTGACTGTATCAACATTTCCCTGAAAATACATACACTTTTCTCCCCTCCCTTTTACCCTTAACCCTTTTTCATCATCGGGGGATATTATTATTATTCTTTTCTTCCCATCAGGCACATTACCCTCTCGCCTGATCTCTCGCGCAAATCGACATCATTCTTCTTTCACTCTTGACACTTATATTTTGTAGACACCCCCTTCATATATAATCATATAAAGTTAGATACCAGCTATTGAGACGGCAATCCCCTCAGTCTCAGCGCTGCGCCCCTCGCCTCCGATTTCCGCTCTTCCGCCCAGCCCGGCATCATGCGGGTGACCGCTCATCTGCTCCCCCTTCTGCTGGCCGGCATCCTACCCTCCTATGCCAAAGATGAGGCCACAACTATCACTTCAGCAGGGGATGGGGCACTCGTCCTGACTGGATCGATCACCACCTCCATTAGCGAAGCGACTCTCCCGACAGGTGACTATCTCTCGTACACCTCGACGATCACGCTCTCCAACGACCACACGACCGGAACTAGCACCAGGGTTGGGGTCAGCACCATCACTGATGCCAGCTCCTCGGGCAATGCAACGGCCACGACGACAAGCTCGCGCTCGAGCACTAGCTCGAACTCTGTGACGCTGCTGGTGGGTGGTGGCCACCATACCATGAATGGCACAGCCAATGCGACAAGCACCTCCACCACCTCCGCAACATCGACCCCGGTCGTCAACACGCAGCCCTGCAATGGCTACTCCGACTTCTGCTCGCGCAAGTACTCCAACATTACCATGGTCGCCGCGCACAACAGCCCGTTTGTCAAACCGGGCAACGCTGCGGCCAACCAGGCCTACAAGGTGACGGATCAGCTGAATGATGGCGTCCGCATGCGTAAGTCAATGACCTGGAGAATTGCGCAACATGGACTAATAGGCGTTCCCCTCCGCAACAGTGCAATTCCAGACACACTTGATCAATGGGACCCTTTATCTCTGCCACACGAGTTGCGAGATGCTCAACGTTGGCACGCTGGAGGACTACCTGACCACCGTGACCACCTGGATCAAGACGCACCCATACGACGTGGTCACGATCCTGATCGGCAACTACGACTACGTGGACCCGGGCAACTTCACGGCCCCCGTGCAGAACTCGGGGCTGATGGACTATGTGTGGACGCCGCCGAAGATCCCCATGGCGTTGGACGATTGGCCGACGCTGTCGAACATGATCCTGTCCGGGAAACGCGCGGTCGTCTTCATGGACTACCAGGCCAACCAGACCGCCTACCCGTGGCTCATGGATGAGTTCTCGCAGATGTGGGAGACCCCGTTCTCGCCCACCGACGCCGCGTTCCCCTGCACGGAGCAGCGCCCGCCGGACCTGTCGGTCCAGGACGCCAAGAACCGGATGTACATGGCCAACCACAACCTGAACCTGGATGTGAGCATCGGCAGTATCAGTCTGCTGATCCCCAACACGGCCATGCTGAACCAGACCAACGCGGTGTCGGGCTACGCGAGTTTGGGCCGGATGGCCGAGAACTGCACCGGTGAGTTTTTTATCTTCTCGGATCCAGCCCGCGAAGAGCGTATACTGATGTGTGCATGATAACAGATACATGGGGCCGGCCTCCGAATTTCCTGCTGGTCGACTACTACAACTACGGCAACTTCAACGGGTCCGTGTTCGCGGTGGCTGCCGAGATGAACAACGTCACATACAGCGGCACATGCTGTGGAACGGCCTCAGCGGCCCCGATAGTGCTGCCAGGGCCCAGCATGCTAGGGGCGTTGTTCGTGGTGGTTGGCGTGTCATTGGTGGGATGGATGTTTTAGCTTTTGAGTATATATACCTTATATCAATCTTTGTTTATTTTGATGGATCACGAGAAATGAGCGTTGTATGATGACTTGGAGGAAATATATAGTGCAGCCGAATCCATAATTTCCTTTCTCTTCTTTTTGCATATAGTTCAATAGTAAATGCGCCCACATCTGCCTGCATACAAGTAGACGAGGCCTACTTGAGGATGTATGGTAAGGTAACTACGGAATACTTCCTATTCTGCGGTGATGGCGAATTATTGCATTTGATATAGAGTGTCTAATCGAGGAAAGCGTTTTCGCTGCCGCTTGGCATCGCGGTGCGTGGTTTATACTTGAATTAGTCAAGTTGGTTCCAAATGTATGAAGCTCTTCGTATTAGAATAGAGGTTACTACCTAGGAGAAAGAGCGCTCTATGTTACCGGGAATGGTTCGTTTCGTTTGCGGGGATATTTGATACCTGAATTTTATGTGTGTACAAAATAGACGTTAGTTCTTCTCAAAAGTTAACCACATACTGCTATTTCCCTCAAGCCTTCCGTAGACTGGCATTCGGCCAAATTATGTCAAATTTACCCCCCGCATAGAGTACTTCGTTCCCACTGCCCTTCCCCGCTTTCGGCGTAAGCTGCAGGATGGCCAAATCCCCATCCCATGTGTCAATTCGTGTCGCGCATGTCCTCCTCAATGTTTAACCTTCGAGGCGACCCAAACCCCCAAGAGCAGGTTCTTGGTTGGATGCGGAAGCTCGGCCGTCGTCTTGCTTCAAGAAGGCGCTGCCGTCAAAGTCCCGTCACGGTATCTGCGGAGCTCCGACTCCGACGTGGAAGTGAACCTTTCTAGCCTCCGACGCGAGCAAAGTATCTATCGTCGCTTGCAAAGCGATCCGAATGACTGCTCTAGCGGCATCGTCGATTGTCTTGTGTGTTCAGTGGAGTCCACCCAACTGGCTTACATGTACCATACCTGAGTACATACATAGTAGGAATGGCAGGGAGCCGGGAGATAAAAACACTATCCCCAAACAGGACTAGCACGCACCTGACCCGAGCATCTCCCCTCTCTCTCTCTCTCCGCCTTAACAATAAACCAAGCATCATCAATCACCAGTCATCTAACCTGTCAAATTATCTCCGCCCACCCACACTCATCCTCACATCAATTGACCCCTCCAACCACCAGGGCCACTCACCCCCCCCCCCCCTCCCCTCCACCTTCTCTTTTCTATCTCACCCCCGCCCCCTTCCGGACAAAATGGTCGACATCCTCCCCCTAAGCAGCTACCCCTCGTACATCGACCTCCTCCCCTCCATCCAAACCTGCAACATCACCAACCTCCCCGAGAACTACTTCCTGAAGTACTACCTGTACCACGCGCTGACCTGGCCGCAACTGTCCTTCGTGGCGGTCGTGCGGCCCAAGAACGGGTACAGTAAGCATGGCGGCAGCGACAGCTACCCCAAGGTCGTCGGCTACGTGCTGGCCAAGATGGAGGAGGAGCCCACGGACGGGGTCGCGCACGGCCATATCACCTCGCTGAGCGTGATGCGCACGCACCGCCGGCTGGGGATCGCGGAGCGGTTGATGCGGATGAGTCGTATGTCCCCCATCCCCCATCCCCCATCCCCCTTCCCCTTCCCTTTTCTGGTGGTTGGGTGGGGGGTGAAAGTAACGAGAAATGCGTTGAAGGACGGGGAACGGAAATGTGCTAATTTGGGTTTCGATGGTGGCAAACAGAAAGAGCAATGGCCGAGTCCCACCGCGCGCAATACGTCTCGCTGCACGTGCGCGTCTCCAACACCGCCGCCCTGCGCCTCTACCGCGACACCCTGGGCTTCCAGGTCGATTCCGTCGAGAGCAAGTACTACGCCGACGGCGAGGACGCCTACGCCATGCGCATGGATCTGTCGGATATGTGGGTCGACTGGGCCAAGATCGAGCGCGAGGACCGCGAGCGCGCCGCCAAGGAGGAGAAGGACGGCGATGAGGGCGAGCCCGTCGGCGAGCTGGGCAAGGCCGACGACGGCGACAAGAAGGATCAGGAGAAGATGGTGCGCGTCAAGGTCGGCCGCGGGTTGGGGGTCGGCGATCTGGTCGAGAAGAATGAGGCGGCGCAGGCGAGTAACTAGTGCTGCTTATCTCCTTGAAATCTACCAAAAAAAAAGTTTAGAGTCAAAGGTTGGAAGGTTACAACTCCAAAACGGTTGCGGTTGCGGCCAAAATGCTTGTATGTACAGTACAACACAACTTCACATAAGAATGCCTCCGACTTTCAACCCAATACACAAGTAGACAGACAGACCGACGACACCTTGCTATGCATATCCGATCCCGCTTGCTAATTCGACACGACGCTAACCCGACTACGTTATGCTGAGGCCCTCGATTTATGCTCAACCTAATCTGCGTCCCGCCGAACTTCGTTTCCCTTCAGCTGTATTCTTTTCATCGGCTGGCTTCTCAGTCCCCTTGTCTGACGAAGTAGGCTTCTTATCACTACTCTCAGACTTCTCTTTCGGTATCACCTTGTCTTCTTTCTTTTCTACATCGCGCGATGACTCCGTACTCGGTGCACGAACCGAGCTGATCTCACTGGCTTCCGTCTCGGCCGCAGACCGTACCGGAGGTGAAAGCGAGGCAGCCGACTGGACCGTCGACGGAGCCTCGAGGCTGTTCTCCAACTCGAGAGTCTGAAGGCGCTGCTCCAACGCCGCATCCGAAGCAGTCTCGGACGTCTGTCGCGCTCGTTGCTCCTGGCGGCGACGGTTCCGCTTCAACCGTCGATTCTCCCGCTGTTCCTCACGGGCCCGCCGTACAACATCCCGGAAGGCCTTGCGCGTCGCTCGCGTTTCCTCCTTCACGGCGCGCTTCTCGGCCTGTTTCCGCTGCTGCTGTTGTGGCGATTCCCATCGGCCCCAGCCGTGGCGCCAGTGGCTTCGGCCCGAAACGCGGTTTTGCCGTCGTGATTCTTGCAAAAGATCGAGTTGGCGGCGAAGGCCCACGGCTTGCTCATACAGAGCTCGGTCATGGTAGTCATCCAATGACAACAGCTGTGCGCGGACGGTAGCCAGATCGGACGCGCTGAGTTCGGAAGTGGTTGAAAAAGTATCTATCGATGAAAAAGAGGTATCCGAAGCTTCTGAGCTCACGGATGCCCGCCGCGTGCGATCCGGCGGTGTTGAGACCGGCTGCTGGTTTGTGATGATGCCCGTTGTAGTCTCCGTCGGGGTAGCGGTGGGCTGGGTATAGGGTGCGTTGTAGTATCCGATTTTCGGGGGCTCGCTCGCACCCCACTCGTTCTGCGGGCGACCGCTGAACCCAGTAAACGCGTCGCCCATTTTCCGTCCTGAGAGGCCAGCTTGCTCCTCCAACCAGCGGCTATGAGCTATAGCCTGTTCTTCGACTTGCCGACCGTAGTGCTGGGCTTGTGCGCTAATGTGATCACCATATTGCGCAGCTTGTTCAGTAATGCGTTCACCGTATCTCTGGGCCTGGGAAGCCAGTGATGCTATCCACCCGAGAGGGCCGCCTTTTGATTGGCCCTGAATTTGACCGGTATAACCATATGGGGGCGCATTCCAACCCCACGTATTTGGTAGTGGATACTGTCCCGGTGGAGGCGGAGGCGGAGCGGCGTAAGGATACACAGGAGGTTGGACCGGAAGGACACCGGGAGGGTTGTAAAAAGCAGGAGGACCAAATGGGGCGGCATAGGGTCCAGGCACTGGAGGAGGCTGGTAGGGCTGGAAACCATAGGGTCCGGGACTAGGTGTAGCGTTTGGTGGAGCGGCGGCAACCTGACCTGGGGTTGTTGATGGCGCATTCGGTTCCTGCTGACGAGTTCGACCGGCATTCGAGGCAGCCTGTCCGGTGCGGCTTGTTGCAGCGGGATAACATTTAGGGCACAGAGACGATCGTGGCGTCCGTTGAGGATCCAGCACGTAGTTATACATCACACGGGCTGACCGTGGTTCGAAAAAGTATTGATTCCATTCCATGATCACTGCGGAAATGCGCCGCTTGCGATCCGCATCGCTCTCCTGAGGTCGATCCTTGCGATCGCGCTGGATTTCGGCTCTGAGTTGAGGGGGTAGTTCGGAAGACGACGACGCAAGTCCAAGATGTGGGGGGAAAAGACACCGTAGGAACATGTCCCAGTCCTGCTGGGTGATGTCCTCCGTCCGCGTATTCCAACACCGCGGACGACGGGGAAAGTCTTTAGACTGACTCCGTGGATAGATAGTGACGCAATGTTCTGCGATCGGCCGCTCGGGATTCTGCGTTGGAGCGACTCTCTCGGCGAAGTAAGCCGCTGCAGAGGTAAAATGGGCGGGCAGCGAGGCGGAGGCCGCTGTACTCTCACTCCCAGCGAGACTCGTCGCAGGGCTGGCGGGTGGGTCATACGATGCTGCATCACCCCCCCGCAGGCGGAGCAAAGTGCGATTAACTTCTGCAGATGCGGCGGCGTTTCTATTGCTGGCTTGGGCGATCATTGGATCGACCGCGGAGTATGGCGGAGGAGGAGGAACCTCCTCGGAATCCATAGCGAAGGCGTAGAGCGATTAAATGCTAGAGGACAAAGCGGGGGAGCAGTCATCAAAAGTGGTAGATCAACCTTCAGGCTCATCAATCGTCATCCATTGCGCTCAAGATGACATGGAATACCCACCAGCCCAAACGGACGCAGAGGCAACGGAGGCGCTGGAAGGCAGCAGGATTGTTAACTAGTACATCATCGGCGAACGCCGTCAGTTGTGGTTCGAGTTACACCCAGGCTCTGGGGAGGATCAAGACAAGTGGCAGGCAACTCACATGTAGGAATAAAAAGAAGTAAAGACGCGCCCGAGGGTATATGAAGGAAAAGCTAATAATAATAAATGCCGGAGATCCTGGTATGGAGGGGGAGGAAGTTCGGAGAGGAGGGAGGGAGGGAGAAGAAGGAGGCTGAGTGGGAATCATCCATCGGGCGGCGGGCGGAGGATCGGCGAATGCACTGAGAAGTGCCAAATCACGGGGCGGCTTCCCCGCTGACTGACTTCCGCCCTATTGAGTCGATCACTATAGTGGTTTCATGTTGAGTATATCTACTATGTCTTATGCCTGTCTGTATAGTACAGGACCTAAAGGAATTTGTCGGGAATATCATCTCTGATATATCTAGTGTTATATTCAAATCCAATCTAATAAGGTATTGAGATATCCGCAGCACTATCTGATGCGACCAGACAGCCATTTATTTACTCCGTCCTGCTCCCAACGCCATGCCTATATGCAATAGAAAAAAAATTTCTTGGAATCTCAATCCCATGCATCACCCCATCCGTCATCCTCATCCTCATCTTTGGGTTTGGTATCGATCTTCTTAGCAGGTGCAGCCGTCCTCGATTGAACCACACTGCCACGACTCGATGTACGTGAAACAATCGCAGAGCTAGTTTTGTTCAAGCCCTTAGGCAGCGGCTTCTTGACCTTCGACTGTGCCGCAAGCCAGCCTGCAAAGTCCGGCTCCCCGCCATCATCGTATGGTACTGCGGCTGCCTTGGGCGTTGGGGCCGGTACGGAAGGGGTGCTGCTCGCGGCTACTTCGAACGGATCCTCTTCCTTAAGCGCACTCCCCTCGTCCTCATCGTCTACCGCGCCCCAAGCGTCGTACACATCCTCAGGTTCTTCTTCCTTGGCCACCATTGGTGGCTGCTCAGACACGGATCGGTTTAGGGAATGACCCGCGGGGCGCGCTGTATCCTTAGGGACAAGTGGCGATGACCGAATTGGACGAGGCACTGACGCAGAGCGCACAGGCTCTGGCTCGGCAGGCTTGGCAACATCTGCGGTGGGCTCAATTTCGCCATTGGCCGCCGTAAGCTTGTTTGTGAAAGACGAAATGGCCCATCCCGCCCATGATTTGTCGTTGCTTGTTCCAATGCGAGCGGTGTCTTTGGCGGGTTCGGGACTGGTTGTGGATGGAAGCACCGTGTCGGCCATGGTGCTGCTAAACTTTCGGATACGCTGAAGGTAAAGGTCCAGGGTCTTATTTGCCTGGTCTCGCACCATCCTAATTTTACTGCATTAGCCCCAGCTCTATGCATGTTTTAATGAGAATAGCGCATACTTCTCTTTATCCAGTAAAGAAGGGCAAATGGCGGGCAGCACTTTGCCCGCACAATCCTCTTCCGAGAAGAATTCCATCGTTGCGCCTAACGCGAGTAAACCAGCACTGCGCGCGTGTACAAACGGGTCTCGAAGGGATCTTGAGAAAGCTGCGATGAGAACTTTGGATCGTGACTGCCCACTGTCAGCAAAGGAAATCAGCATAGCTCTAAATCGCACTTACACCCTGTCCAAGATTCTTTGCTATTTTGCCCAAGCAGATAGTTGTATTGGTACGGATTCCGGGTTGCTCATCATTCGCAGTCCGCGCCAGATATTTCAGTAAGTCACCATTAATAGTGCGGTCGTGGAGTTTGTTGATAATTGGCAAGACAGCCTTGACTGTCTGCTCGCGGACCACGGGTGCCGCATCCGTGAAGCCGGAGGTCTAGTATGGTAGTGTTAGCAGGGACAAACAAGCAAAGCGGCGATTGACCTACAATCTGAGGGAAGATTTTATCATTGACAATCCTTTGGGGTAAATTATCAATCATCATCGGTAGATGGTCCAGCAGACAGACCCGCAGAGCCCGATCAGGGTTGCCAAATAGCCGAACAATCACTGGGGTAAGCTTCGCGTTGAACTCCTCCGATGACAGCTTAGAACCGATCTTTAGAACCGCACTGAGCACTTTCGGGCCGCCTCCGCCGAATTCGACGGACTTCAGAAGTTCCGGAAGCACCTTCATCTTGAAGAACTCCTCAGGGAAGTCCTCCGACAGGGAATCGAGCTCACTATACCACTTAGCATTAGTTCAATTCTTGTAGAAATGGAGCAGGGACATACTTCACGAATTCTTCCCGTTCAACATCGTTTTTCAGGCCCAGACTTTCTATGTCGTCGCATAAGCGGATGAGCGGTGTCTGGAAAAACCCGCCGCTCTTCTTTCCCTGCTCGACGAAATGAGCGGGACTCAGCCGCAGCTTAGGGTTGGCTGTGCATAGCCGTTTATAGCTCTGGTGCATACTAGGTGGTATGTTGGTCGTCTTGCCCACCTGGTCACCACCTGTGAAGCTGCCATTGAAGACTTCATAGATTAGTATTCCCAATCCGAATGAGTCAATGGCTGTGAGCGGGTGGCGCTTGATGATATCCCAGCCCCCCTTAACGACTTCCGGAGTTGTGTATCGAGCCGCGTCAGGTAGAAGACTGGCATATGTCTGTTTAAGAGGTCAGCACTCCTCTACGTCCCACTTTGGCAGAGTGTCTTACGTATATAACGGCGTCCTCCTCATTCATTGAACTTAAAATGTCAAACCCTCCCAGCTTCCACTCGCCACTTTCACTCGTGAAAACCGACGAGGCTCTGACGGCACCATGGACGGACGACGCATCGGCGTTTATGAACTTCAGAGTGGACTGAGACCAGTGTTAATCAATGTGGCAGTCGTCATCTATATTCAGGACAGCACACATACTGCGACGGCGTACAGCCCCCATTTGGCCGTCTCCTCGCTCAGGCTTCTCCGCTTCACGTGCCAGGATAGAGGTACAACACGCTCGGTAACGATGTAGAGATTGGCGTCCGTCTGCAATCAATTAGAGTCATTGCCCTCAGCAGGAAGTGTCATGTGCAAAGCCGCGCATTACCTCAATCGTGTCCAAAACCTTGATCACGCCGGGATGTCTTAATGTTCGTGACTTTCGCACTGCATTTTTGGCGAGCGGTAACCGAGACTTGTTTGCGGCGATATCGAATGTAAACACACTACACGGTGACCCGTCGTCCTATTTGTGGCAGCACGTTTCGCATTAGCTCTCAGTGTCAATGCGACCCCACGAGAAAGTACATGAAGCTTCATACCCGTTTCGTAGCATTATGAAGAGCCCAAATGGAGTCGGCAATATCAACTCTGTCTCCGAGGGAGTAAGGAAAGGAGCTGCCTTTGGCGATGGCAGATGCGACAGCAGATTTGAGGAAATCCATCGTCGCGAGTGGGGAGTGGGTGATAGGGGATTGGCCGCTGGCTGGTCTCAAGCAGCGCCGGTCGCAACAGTTGTTCGAATATCGGGTAGAATGTAGGAAGGGTGTAGCAGACAACAAGCGCAGTCTAAAGTCTGTTCCAAAGGCGAGAAATGTTTGCGGCCCCCAAATTGACAATGGGTTGTTGGTACATGCGGAGGAGGAGAGGGGGAGTTGACACTCAATCAATAAGAATACAATAAGATGATCCGCGGGACTCGGCCAAGTTGAAGGCGGAACAAGACACCCAAGGCCACACTGAGTGGGCTCCAGCTTAATTGGAACACTGCTGCCCCGCCCCGAATCAGGCTTAGCGCCCGGAGGCCCAGTGCCTGAATTCTTTCTTCCGCCCCCTCAGCTCGAGCTTCGTCATTCCATCTTCATCTTCCTTCCTCCCATCGCGTCTGATACCCTCCTTTGTTTACAGTCCAGATGATGGACTCTATCTTTTCATGATGCTGATAATGAACAGCGTCTTCGCCCATTATGAGTATCCCTTGTACCTGCTGATCTAGTGTCCTTTTTTTTTCTCATCTCATCCCACCGGTAACCTTTCTAACCACTCACTTTACCATGTGTTCTATTTACCATCTTCATCCTGACATTCTCGATATCCTCCTACCAATATGAAACCTACGCCAGTTACCCTCTCCCTCCTCCCCCCCCCCGCTCCCCCTTGCTCCACCACCACGATTCCCCCAAATCAAAATCTCCAATGATGCGAACCTGGTAAAAGGTCAGACCGCGCCGTCCGCCACGAACAACCACACCCCAATCTACCACACCAAACCACCACCGCGCCAAGTTACTTCCCTCCTCGACTGCCCATCTCACCCTCCTCCATGCCATCCCACGAACTTCCCACCGCCAGATCCACACGAAACCTACGAATCCCACCCACCCAAAACCTCCCCATAGCCTTCCTACTATCACCCCACATCATCCTCCTTCTTCCTCATTCCCCAACCCCTCTCCCACATCCCCCCGCTCCCCCATCTCCTCCTCCTCCCTCCCTCTCCCTTCGCCCTTCACAGCACAAAAAAAGCAGACTCATGTCCTTCCAAACCCTCAAAAGACCAAGGTCTTGTCAAAAACCCATACAAAACCTCTGGTCCCCCTTGGAAAAAGAACACAGGACATGTGTATAGCAAAACATGCCGCAATTTGGGGTTTCTGGTTCCGCTTCACTTTCCATGAGGAACTTTTTCAGAAACTATAAGGCTGCGGCGGACATTTGCCTCGTCTCTTTTATAACCTTATCCCTTTGATCCCTGTCATCTCGTCTGACTCATGAACGATTGGGGACGTGAGTTCTGGCCGTGACAGGAGGACAATTGGGAGAGGGGCTTTGAAAAGTGTGAGGTTTGTGGGATTTGATAGTAACTGCTGTGCTGTGAATGGGGTTGGTGTGAGAGGAAGAGGGGGGCGGGAAT